CTTTGTTCTGTCGTGGTAGTCCCTTGATGACACAGTGGCAGGAGTACTGTTGCCACAGCTCCACGAACCTTTCCTCCATCTCATAATTCCACCTAGCCGCACCATCATCTCTCTTTCATTTTGCCATGTTTGAAACCGGTGTATGAAAGAGCTTCTGTGCTGCTATTGGTCAACGTCACCAATGTGACAGTTGTCGTGGCCGACAGAAAAAAAATTAAACATGCTAGTCTTTCTGTCGTGATGTCGTGAAGCATAGTAGACGCGGAATCGGTTGTCGTCCACTATGACACACTACACGAGCTGAAACGATGGAATCTTGCGTCCCGACGCCCATTGTCGTTTACGAATCCCCACGACACCCTACGTCAAGCAAATCGTGGCAAAATCGGGCTAAAATCATGTAGTCTGACCTGGGCATTAACGGCGTGACCGCAGCTTCCGCTTGCTGATATGGAGATAGACATGGGGTTGCCAGATTCAAATCTCGTACTAAAAATCACTCTTTCATGTAACTGACACGCACCATTATTTACAAGATTGGATAAAGTCATATTGTGACATGTTAATTGAATAAAATTAGCAAAACATGTTTAGTCTCCGACACGTAAGAACGTCATATCATATGGTGTTTATGAGAGCAAACAGGTGTGAATAAGTCCGTTTGAAGGCGGGGGTTTCATTTCCATCAGACCATCAGCGTCCTTCTGTTGCTCTTTCCTCGAACCTCTCGCCGCACAGACGAGCTGTCAGGCAGGTTTTCTCCTGCTGCTGCAGCACAAAGTAAAAGATTAATGGAGGTGGTGAGACAGAAGGAGAGACTGGCTCGAGAGAGACAGCGAAAAGCAGGCATGACAGCACACACAGAGAGCACCGTCCCCGCCTCACTCCCAGCCCATTATCCTCTTAGTCTGTGCCGCTGTCAGTTCAGGACAGTTCAGAGTCCACACTGACCATGACAAGAGCACTTGACGGGCTCCCATTGTACGCCTGCCCTAATCACAGACCTCCCTCAGTGTGTGTGTGTGTGTGTATAAATTAGAGTCTCAAGTGTTTGGATGTTGCTGAAGATCCTTGTCCATGAGTAAATCATTGGTTAATGTAGGGAGGAAAAAATCTTAATTATAATAAAAGTACATAAAAATAATGCTATTAATATTTACAATTATATTAACATGTCTGCTGAATGAATGAATAAATAATAAATAAAATATTTTTGTATTTCTTTCTGAATTATTTTTAATCATTCTCATAAAATAGATTAAAAACGTTAAAGTAAAATATAGCTGAAAATGTGTTAAATTATTATATAATTAATTATTGATGATTATTTTTAAGAGCAAATGGAGATTTTAACAGAAGCCTCCTGCATCTCAGAAGTTTCTCCTAAGACCCTAGTAAATATCAAATAAGCTTCAGAAGAGATCTCAGATTTGTCTGCAATCAAAAGTGAGATATCTCATTATGAACTCAAGCATCTCATCAAATGATCTGAGCTATTCAATGCTCTCCACGTTCATTTTATAGCCATATATACTCTTGCTCTATGACAACTGCATTGTCTATTTTATTTCTCCAAAGAAATATAAGAAGAATCATTTCAGACAATGTTTATATATACCTGAGAATCCATAAAAGAGCAACGCCTAAAAAAATAAAATTTTCTGTGTTTGTGTGATTGGTTTTGAAATACATAACATTTCTGCAGTGCTAAACTGATGTTGAGTATGATAATCTGAGGTAGTTGACATATCATCACATCTTCAATGTCGATTACGCCGGCTAATCTCCAAAACAAACATTCTCACACAGAGCTGCTGGGCCTGAATTAAACACACCACAGACTGGAACATCATGAAGTACACCACTAATACTGCTCTCTGATTCAACATAGCTCTATTATAGACTCGATTTCTTACTTTTATCTCAATAAAAACTAACATCGCATTAGAAAACACATTCAGATTTTTACCCGGTCTTTTCTTCTTCTCATCATAGCATCGCAGTTTCACATGTACATGCATGACGCTATGAGAACATCTTGTGTTTATTGTAGGGGAGGAGCATCACATGACAGGAGGAACTTCCTGTTTGGGGCCCTCGCTATTAATCACCACAAGTCAGAAAAATAACGTCAATTAGCTGTGGAATTCGTCAAGCTTGAAGTAGATCTCATTAGCTGGAATTTCATAAGTGGCTTGTTAATCATTCCCTTCAAACCAAATCATTTTAATTAAAAAAAAGACAGCCATATTTCAAATCAACATGAAACTTAATTCACATGCCGTTTCACTTCACAACTACAGTTTAACAAAACAAAATGACGTGCAGGGCTTTATTTGGTTCATAAATCATAAATAACAATAAGCCGTAAATAGTCATTTTTGATTTTGACTGTAATAATACTAATTATTAATAACTAATACTAATTAATACTATTTTGACTTGCATCTTGATATTTAATTCTGATGACAGATTAAGACAAATAAAAAAATTTTTCTTTAAAATAACAGATGAAACATTACACAATAACACCTGTAACATACGTATATTAACCAAGTCAATTTTGACTTTATTATCAATATTATTTTGACTTGCATCTTGATATTTCAGTTTAATTTTGATGAAAGATTACCAAAACAAAGCTAATTTCTTTAAATGTATTTCTATAACTAACATTTATATATGTTAGTTATATAAATTATAACACGAGTCAGTTTTTTAACAATACTATTTTGACTTAAGTCTTGATATTTCTGTTTAATTTTTAATGAAAAATTACTAAGACAAAAGTTTTTTCTTTGTTTAAAATGTTTTTTTTGTCTTTAAAATGAGAGATGAAACATTCACAATAATACCAGAATTATATAATAAAAAATATATACATTTTATATATAGTCAATTTTGACTATATTAATAATACTATTTTGACT